GTAAAGACTGGATTTGACCATTTCAGTATGTTTATTCAGGGACTGTTTTGCAAGAAAAGGTGCTAAATGTGCTATCCATGGGACTGTCAGGTTTGTTTTATGCAAAAGAATCAGTGTCAAAATCTGGCATTTTGTTCACCCTGAGCAGTGCCCAACTTCAGTGGGAAATACTCAGAAGTACAGTTTATTCATTAAGATGGCAGAATATGTCCCTAAAGAATAACAGACTTCCTGTATTTACAGTTTTGATCTGAAACAAGTTTCAGCTCTGTGTGGGATTTTACTATACCGATACAGACCTTAACATGGATTCAGTTAGCAGCATAAAATGTGCCTTTTACAAGTACAGTGAAATTACCCTTATATAAGAACAACATATGCTAGTATAATTGTGCCTGTTCTATACGAGTAAGTTGCACCATATTCATTATGCCAACATAGTTAATGCATACAACTTTTATTGGGGAGGAAGGGGAGGGGGAAAGAGCAGAGTCCAGACTGTACTTTGGACTTAAAGTTACTTTGGTTTCTTAGTCAATAACAAACAAGGAAGCCAGCATCAGGTCCAGGTGCCTTTGACTCCCCAACCTAAATGACTCATTTACAGCTGGTTCAAACAGGAGAGTCCATCTGCATGAGTCCAGAGCAGGGCTTGAACCCATGCCCCTGGAGCCATGCCAATATGCCTTAACTGCTTTGCTATCCAGTCCCTTTGCTATCAATTTGAAGACTTCTCAGTAAAGTAGCTGTATACTTTTTTTTTTGTAGCTGTATATTTCTGCTTGTTTTTACAGCTGAACCATATTTTAAAAATAAAGTTTGCAGCTTTCAAACTTCTGGGATACAGCATACGCATACATTTATGCATTCTTTCTAAACAGAAAAAAATATTGCTATTCTGGCATTGTGCACATATTTACAAAAATATTAAATAATTCTGTATCATCTTAGTGTCAAGTGAATAATCTCTGTATTTAGTTGTGCAAACAGAACTGAATTTTTATGAACAACAATGACAGAAGCAGGTTCAAGTCAAGTAGTGTAGTGTACTTGAATGTGCAATGGCCCCACTAGATGGCGCACATGGTATTTTTTTTAAATGTGAAGGTACTTTGAAGTTTGTCTGCATTTGTACTGAAAAGTCTAGTTTACCCAATACATGTTGCGTATATAAGTTATTTTATATAGAAGGTTCCCCCCTGCACCCCCACAACAGATAAAACTGAATTTGAACTACACAAATTTTCATGGGTATCCAAGATTAACATTTAGCAGAATTTTAACATTCAGTCACTATAAATCCCTTCACCAACTGAATTTAATCTACATAGAAGAAACCATTATACTAAAATTATAAAGGACATTTGTTCAGTTGTTCACACACTGTATGGTTTAAAAGAGATGCTGAACTACAGACATTGGTTCAGTATCAGTCGCATGAGCAAAAGAATTCTGCGCCACCTTATATGTCTCATCATTTTAAACTGATGATTAAAAAAACCCCAGACCTATGAAACCATCATTTTAGGATGAAGTATACTTATATTAAATATGCTGCTCAAAACAGCCTCCCATTACCCAAACTATTTTTTTTTCCCCAGGGAATATTATAGATCTGTTTTGTATGTTTCAATTCATAGCCAAATAACTTACCCTCAAAAGTTCCAGGTGCATACTGAGGATACCCATAAGCAGCTTGATTTCCTGTATAACCTGGTGGATAAGCTGGATTCACAAATCCACCAGGAGGTACTGAGACAGGCTTGTTTGCTGAAAGGATGAAATAACAACAAGAACATGTTTATCCTCCATAAAAACTTACCACAAAAAGGCTATGAAAAGTTTGTTTCCAAGATGATGCACATTAAAGATAAACTTTATATACAAACATTAAATAAATCTAAGAGACTTTAAAAAAAGGAGTATGTAAACATTCATAAAAGAATCAGAATTACTTAGATGCTTCTAACCCCAAGAGTGGCCAGAGGAGAAGGGGACAATTAAAATAAACGAAAAGATACAGGTTCCATGAACTGTCTCGCATGAAGTCATCAATTCATTTTCACTCTATATCAACTATAGTTACCAAAAATGCATGGCAGCATTCCTCAACAGAACAGACAAATTAATACACTATTCTTAAGCATAAGAGACTTCTCAGTTTATCAAGGACAGTTTTACAAATACTATATAAATTATAAGCACACTTTTCTTACTCTAACACTTTATGACTTCACATACTTTTTTCTTCAGCTAACCCAGGAAAATGAGATTTAACAATTGCTACAAAAGTCAGAGTCAGGATCCCGAACACAACTGTCTTTAATTTTAGGAACATACCACTTAAATTAAGAAGCCCAGTTGCAGACATCCAGAATTGAAAATTTTTAGCACAACATTTAAAAAATGTAGGGAGGGCAAGGGGAGGGAGGAAATCATGGACAGTAATAACGTACATTCACCTTTTAGGTTTGTCAGGGAAGTTATGTATCTGTGTGGTTAAGCGTCAAGACAAAAACACTAGGGCTGTGCAAGCCACCATCGTTTCGTTTCAACGTCCATTTCACCATTTCGAAGGGACAGCATTTTCTTTCCTTGTTTCATTTTGAAGCACTGTCCTGTTTCGTTTCATTGAAACTGTTTCGCTGTTTCAACGTTTCACCCATAGGCTATAATGGGGAATCATGAAAATGCCTAAAACTTCGTCGTTTTTTGTTTGATTTGGATGAAAATTGCAGGGATGGTACCCACTTCTGAAGGCATGAAGCCTGCCAAGTTTCTGGGAAACTGCACCTCAGACTGTTCAAAACAAAAGTCCTGACACTTGCCAGCAGCGACAGCCTCCTCTCATCCCGTGCACAAATCCAGAGCCTCATACCCTTGGGACAAATCCAGCACAGCCCAGCAGCCCTTCTGGGGCTGCGAGCCCCCGGATCTGCGCCCTGGATGAGAGAAGGCTCAGGCTGCTTCTCCCACCGGGGACCGATGCCCCCACTCGCCTACCTGCTTGACTATAGCCCCCTGTTCAGCCCACACCTGGCTCCAGACCCCCAGAGTGCTCCCCTCCCGGCGCAGCCCCCACCCGGCTCCAGCCCTCCTGCGTGCTCCCTGCCCGGCTTCAGCCCCCCCGGCAGCTTAACAGCAACAGCAGCTGTGCTCTTGGCCTTGTGGCACAGCCCCCCTGCATGGCACGGGGCAGCACGGCTCAGCTCCAGCTGCCAAGTTTCTGTGAAGCCTCCGCCACAGCACGCTGCTGCAGCTCACCTTGGCGCAGAGTGGGTGCCGTGCGCTTTCGAATAACCCCGGGCTGTCATCCAAGCCTGTGTGCCACTCGCAGAGACCGCTGGCCACACTGGCCCGGGTCCTGTGTGCGTAAGCCCTGCACCATCCAGCTGTGCATGCAGGACCTGGGCTGCATGGCTCCTGGGAGGAGTCCGGCACAGCCCCATAGCCCTCCCAGGGGTGTGGGCGGGCACCCCGATCTGCACGCTGGATGACAGGAGGCTGCTGCTGTTGGCTGGGACCGCTGCTGGGTACAGCCCATGCCGAGCGCTGAGAAGATTGGTACTGCCGCTGGCTTAAGGAAGCAGAAGCAGCGACAGCAAGCTGTCATCCTGAGCACAGATCCAGAGGCCTGCACCCCTGGGAGGGCTGCAGGGCTGTGCCAGACTCCTCCCGGGTGGCACAGACCCCTGGATCTGCACACCAGATGAAGGAAGCTGGCGCTGTTGCCTTTGGCCAGCAGCAGCACCATTTTTCCTGGCACTGGGTGCACAGCGCTGATCCCAGGTGGCAGCAGCAGCCTCCTGTCATCCAGCATGCAGATCAGGGGCCCGCACCCCCAAGAGTCCGGCACAGCCCCGCAGCCCTCCCGGAGGTGCAGGTGGGCCCCCAATCTGCGCGCCAGATGACAGGAGGCTGCTGCTGCTGGCTGGAACCAGCGGTGGGTGCAGCCTGTGCTGAGCGCTGGGATGCCACAGGCCCCAGCTGGCAGCCACAGCATGCTGTCATCCTGCATGCAGATCCAGGGCTGTGGGGCTGTGCCAGACTCCTCCCGGGGGGCACAGCCCCCGGATCTGCATGCCAGATCACAGAAGGCTGCCGCTGCCAGGTGGGACTGGCGCTGATGCCAAGTAAGCCAGGCTTCAAAACTCAAAACATTTAAAGTGCCCTTGTTTCGTTTTGAAGCTGTTTCAAAGGCTTTTGTTTTGTTTCAGTTTCACTGTTTTGAGCTTGAAAGGCATTGAAACAGCTTCAAAATGAAACACGAGGCAAGATTTCACAGCGCCCTAAAGAACACCTCTTGCAGTATTTCAGTGAGATCCTTAAAAGAAAAAAAAAAAAAAGTCTCTCAAGTTACTCCCATTTATGGTACTGAGTTCAAGTAACATGTTCAAGTGAGCCATATCCCACAGTTCAACATATCATTATTTCTCTCAATCCGAGAACTTTATTGAAGAAGGTTTAAATGGAGACAAGTATCTGAATAACTTAGAATACTAGAGGGCAGGATTTCACCCTATATTCTAATGGCATCAATGGCAAAATTCATTGGCATCGATGCGGCCAGGAATTCATCCTGCTACACAGAAAGGGAAAGAATTAACACAGAGCAACATTCTCTAGTGAGCTTAAAAAGAAAAAAAAAAATCTAATACTTCAAGGTAGATAACCTTACAACATAGACTAGAGGCCAACATATGATAGATAGTGACCCTGCAAGGAAATCCTTAAAATTTTCAAGAGACGGGACACACAGAGAGCTGCTAGTTCATCTGAATTCAAGTTTTACTTGACTACTTATACAGAAGAACTGGTTTGACAGGTGGGTCTTGTATGGTTGTTAAGAAAGTGCCTTGGTCAAAAGGCATTTATTCCAAGAAACCCCCTCACTATTACTGTAATAATTATTTATTGTTTTGTTTAAATTCCTACAACTGATACAGGTCATGTTTACAACTGATATTCAAAAACATTTAATCAAAGTATCAGTGAAAAAAATATTTTACTCACACTGCATGTCCATGGATCTGTGTTAAATTCTTTCTGCAAAATAAAACATTTTGTTTTATGCTTTGAATACAACAGATTGCAAATTGTGAAGAAAGCACTGATTGCTCTCTAGTTATGAAAAATTATCTAAGAATACACTGTATATATTAACAGGTGAGAAGGATTTTGATCTTAGCTGAACTGAGTTAATGAGTGGAATATTTCAGACATAAGACCAAGATACCTGAAGCCATGTCAGCTGGTTACAGAGACAGTCCATTAATATTCTAGACCAATGGTTGTCAACCGGGGTATGTGTGGACGGGCAAGGACAGTGCACTGCCACCCTTGCTGCTGCCTCACAGGAGCAGGCCGGGGCCAGCTGACAACAGTGGCAACCCTTTGCAGGTCAAACAGGCACCACCCAGACTGCCAGACGGCATGTGAATCTATGGGGTAAAATTCTTTCCTGACATCAAATGGGGTGATCAAACTGACCCTGAGCAGAGAAGCAAAACCTCTAACCAGAAACCTCCAGACTTTTCAGTTCCAGCAGGAGCATCAGAACACTCACTCAAAATCCACAGTGTACACTGTAGCCAACATCCAATGCTTCTGAGGAAGAGAGAAAAAAACCCAACAGCTATAACAACAGGAAGGGAAAAACTTCATTCTTGGTCCCATGTTACAACCAGCAAAGCCCAGAAATACTGGAAATCCAAAAACCCTCCACGCTACACTGCAACCTGGGGACCACAGACACAAATCCACACACCGTAACCAGAGAGCCAGAACTTCCCCTTCTATCATCCTATCCCCTCCATAAACCTATTCCAACTTTTTAATATTCGTTCATAACCAAGCCATTTCAGGAGGACTGTTTCAATGTCCTGCTGCTGAGTATGGTCCTCTTCAATCTCCACCTGCTCTGGACTGCAGAGCTCTGCTCGTGATCTCTCAACAATGTATACGTGTGGAGCTCCTGGATTTCCAACTGTTGTCTTTAAAGGCACAGTCCAGGCACTGATACTCCTAGATCATTCCTGCCCAATGCTTATCCAACCTCTTCTTGAAAAACTCCAATAAAGGAGTTATCACAACTTCTCTAGGTAGTTGATCCCACTGCCTCACTTTTCTAATGGTGAAGACATTTTTCCTGATAGCCAATCTAAACCTACTTTGCTGCAACTTAAAGCCTCTGCTATGCATCCTACTTTCTGCAATGAAGTAGAAAAAGTTATTCCTCTTGATTGCAGTTCTTCAGATACTTGAATACTGTTATCTTGTCCCCTTTGAAATTGCCTTTCACAAGCTGAACATGCTTATTTCTCACCTCTCCTCACATGGTTTGTCTTCTACTCCCTTTATCCAAGCCTGCCTCTGGACGCTCTCCAACTTCCCCATGATGTTTTTTAAGACCCCAGAACTGCACACAATACTGTAGAAGAAGCCTAGTGCCAAGTCTTATGTTTTAATGTCCCTGTTGAGGCCATGTAAAACTGCAGAATCACGTTGAGTCCTACACAGTACGCCAGTACCCTAATCCTACTTCATTAACACCTTCTCGGAGCCTAGGCCAGGGGTCGCCAAGTTTTTGGGAAGAGTGCCGAAAACACACACACAACTTCAACTTGTAAGATGTTAGTGTGCCAGGGGTGGATGATGGGGGAGAGCTATGAGGGGCCCAATCCTTGCTGTTGCCATGTAGCCCCAGCCCCTTCCCCGCCATTCACCCAGAGGCACGTGCACCAAGCAAAATGCCTTTGAGTGCCACACTCTGGTACCCGTGCCTAGGCTAAGAGTAGCCACAGTGCAAAATACTATTCAAACTGCACAGAGTGATGGATTTAGCCACCCATGCAAGAACTTGTTGCAACTGAAAGAGGCAAGTATAGTTTGTTTAAGCATAATCAAGAATTGAAAAATCCTTCTGGGATGCAGAGTAAACATTTGCTGGGCCCTGTGCTGCCAGAGCTGAACTAGAATAGCACTTGGCTTAACTCGTTTGTACATGGGTGAGACCAGGGTGGATTTGATTTAAATCACCAGTCAGGAAGTCTCGATTTAGTAACTGTTTTTTACAAAAAGTACATTCTTGTTGTTTGATATAACTTTAATATATATTATTCACAACTCAGAGATAGATATAGGTTTCATTTTTAGAAGGCACATGCTATACATTTTAAAACAGTTATTTATTTTGATATTTTTTCAAATTAATTTTGCAACTACATCAGAAAACTGAATTACGATTTGGTTATTTTATTTACCAAAGCTAAATGAAGCAGATACTTGTGAAGTCATTGGGAGGTGAACTATCTCCAATTCACTAGATCAATCGTGGATATTTGGGGGATATTTTTGCCACACTGTATTAGGAGAACATCAAATGAGCACCACCACCATATTTTATTAGCTTAGGGCTTGCCTCACTTTCTTTCAGATTTCTTCTCATCTTTGGTTTCAGCTTCTCTCTTTATGGCCTAGCAAGCCTGCTGCAATAATAGGTCTTCCCTTCTACCATACCATTTATTTCCTCTGTAGATCTGAATCAATGGAGAGGCTATACTCAGAAACCTATCACTCAAGACTTCTGGAATATTATGCTCAAAATGGTTCTCTTTTGCTTCTACTGCCCCTCCCTCCTTGCATTTATCTCCAGGCTCTTTCTCCTTGCCCAGATCTACTCCACCCCCAACAATCCTCTCCATTTAACTTCTTGAAACTGCACTTTTAGGGAGAGGTAAGGGCTTAACTCTGTGTACACTAACTTGCAGAGAAACAATAGGGCTGATGGGTAAGTAATCAGGTCTGTTCTCTCTCATTTCCATATACTGCTGTTAACAAGGATGTTATCTCTGGAGAGACAAATCCACAGTTTGAGAACTGAAGCCAAGCATCACAGAGATGCTTAATGGGATCTTCTAGACTGAGCACCGAGTCTCATTGGGTAGAGTGGTTTTCTTTAATCTTTACTAATCTACAGAGAAGCCTTTGGGATCCCCATAAGGTTGGGCCCCTAATATAGTCCATGGCCTGTTGTGACACATTTATAAAACTTTTCTAAAAAGGTGACATGAATATATTGTCTCAAATAGTATATAATTAGAAGTTATAATCCCTATTTCATGATATCTTTGACCTTTAACATATCTTAAATTAAAACTATATATGTTTAATTTTTTAAAAGCATTTTAACCATAAAAATATGGTTTTTTAACCATATTTAAAAAAATAAAAAATACAATGAGATTTTTTTTTTTAAATCTGATTTTTTTTTAAAAACCTTTTTTATTTTTATCCACCCTAGGTGACTTTTAAGTTGACATATCAAGTTAAAACTGCAATGAAGACAAGCTCTGAGAAGAGCTTTCAGTCACATTAGCATGTGCTCAAGAGCCGTGTTTTTTCTGTCCAAAATCAGAACATGCATTTCTTGCTTTTCCATATAAACAAAACAATGTTTTAGTTCTTCTCATGGCCTTTTACTACTCAGATTAAAAGGAAGGCAGAAAGGAAGCTGCATGTAAGACTGCAGCAGTCAAACAATTTTAACACCTCTCCTTCTACTATTTACTTTTTTTTTTTCCAGTTCTCAGCTTGGGAGTTAATATGCAGTTGTATTTATTTACTTTCCTCCTTCATATGAGGGAGTGTTTGAGCTGTATTGTATACATGGGAGCATCTGGGTTTTTTTTAAGTTTGTTTCCATAAGAAACAGAGGCAGTCTATTGTTCACTTTCTTTCCGTTGGTCAGTTACTAGATAGGAGAGAACACACAAGGAAAAGAAAAAAGTTACAAGACTGAATGCATTCAGGAAACCCCAGTACATTTAAAGACCATGTAATCTGCCACAGAAAAATCCAGTTCAATTATCTGGAGCCAATAACAATTTCTAATAGCAATGTGCATCATCACCGAGTACAGCTTTTCACTTTTTAGCATTAATTCAGGCAGGAGTTATCCGTCATAATCCACATAGATGAAAAAGTAGACTGGAGTTTCCTGATCTCCCTTTAAAACTTTCTAAATTAATACTGTGACAGGAAATTCTCATGGGTGAACAGAGACAAAACCCACCATAGAAAAAGGTGTGGCTAGAATGAAGATAAGAACAGTGGACACATTTAGCAGCCACTTATGTCAGCATATGGTTTTGGACAAGTCCTTGCAAAGTATTCGAAGGGGGGGAGGAGGATAGGGGGACAAGGGGGCATACAATGAGACTACAGTATCTCAAGGTTACTGTAAATTCACTTAAGGATGAGGGGTTATAAAAGAGCTTAGCACATGAACAATGGGTGCCCCCACTGGCTGGGAGGGCACAGCGATGCTGGCAGCAGCAGGAGCGCAGCGGCAGGAGCGCAGCGGTGGTGAATGCATGGCAGAGGCAGGCAGCTCCTACAGACGCTGCTGGCACTGTCGGCAGAGGGGGAAGGGGGGAAGAAGGTGGCAAGTGGTGACCAGGGGTCAGAGACTACCTGCAGACGCTGCCAGCAGTGGCGGTGGCAGCCAGTGGGAATCACTGACTGCCCGCAGACGCTGCCAGCGGTGTCGGCAGTGAGGTGGGGCTAACGAGCCTTTTTAGAGGGGGTGCACTGCCACACTCAGGGGTTGCATGTGCACCTGCGTGCCCCAACGCATCGCCAATGGCTTAGCAGACACCCAGAAGTTACAGAGGTAGCCCAAAAGAGAGTACAGGCAGTCCTCAACTTACAACGTTTCTCACTTACCACGTTTATAAATTGACCACCTGTTTCAGCTTTATGATGTTAGTTTTGACTTTACAATGCTTGATCCGATGTGGTACTATGCCAGCGAACAAGTTCGCTGTGTCACTCATCTCCTTGGAGAACATCTGTCCAAACTTCCTTGGACACTTTAAGAAAGCAGCCAAGACTCCTGAGAAGGCTCCAGCCAAGAGCCTTCAAGAAGTCCAGCAAAGTCACGACAAAGTAGTCCTTCCAAATCAATGATTGCTATTTACAATATAAATACATTAATTTAGCTATATTACTCATCTATAATTGATCGAGTACAAAATTCTGGGGTATTTTTGGTGAAAATAGGGTATCAGGCCTTGGTTCGGAACCAATCCCCCATTTATAACATTGTTCCTTATGAGAAAATTGGTTCCGAGTTACAAGATTTTGACTTAAGACACGGTTTTGAGGAACCAATTGTGTCGTAAGTCCGAGGGCTGCCTGTACAGTCAAAAAATTAGCCAATACAGCAGCTCCCCTCAGCTGGGTGGACACAAACAAGACAGACAGAAATTGGCCTTAAAACTAGACATCTATGCAGCTTGTGCATTAAAGAAAACCAACTACGAAACTGATAAAGTCACTGACTAGCCTCTTCTTATGCTCTAGACCAGATTTTAAATAGGTGTAAAGAAAATATATTTTACTCAATCAGTTAATTCAACTAGTTGAATTCAATAACCTGTTCATTCAAAGATGAAAAAAACTGAGGAGAAAAAAGGCAGAAATTTGCTTTCTTTTTCAGGAAAAGGAAACACACACACACACACACACACACACACACACACAAAAAGGATGGATTTAATGAATCTGAATTCTTGGAAAACATGGTAACTGGTACATGTGCAGTCTAACTCCAACATTACAGATGAGCGAATTGTATAAATGTGTGTTGAATTAAAAACAATGTGTGTACATATAAAAACATCTTATGTAACCAATACATTTTACTAAACAAACCAATTTTGAAGTGCTAGGTTTGGGCATTTTAATGGATTCTAATTTCTATCTAAATGCAGTTTATGCAAATCATAAATCATAAGGGGGGAAAAAGTCTAGTGAAAAGCTTCACTATTTTCTAACATTAATTCGAGTTAGTAATATCACATATCATATTTAGTGTAAAGGCTCAGATTCATTGTTACATTTTAAATTGTTACAAGTCAAATCTGAAAGAAAAATAAATAAAAACAACAAGCAGCACGGCAAAATATAAAAATCAAGTTTTCTTACTCACTAAAAGTATTTACACCTGGTTCCTGTAACTGAATTCCAGTGAGATTGGAATAACAAGGAAAGATTGTGAAATAAGTGAAAATTTCGAATGATGAAAGCAATGAAGGGCGGGAGGGGGCAGGGAGGAAAAGGTAATTGTTTTCAGCTGATGTTATGCAAAAGAATACTTATCTGGCTGAATTTAAACTCTACAAAAAGGGTGGGAACAAAAGGAACATTAACAGTGCTTTAAAATATTTGTTTTCTCCACTCAAACATTTGAAGTCATTTGTATGAAGATGAATTACTTTCAGCTCTTAATGATTTACTTAGAGTGGATAAAGGTAGTAAAATGCACAGATGCCTCCATGGTAGTAGATATTATATCAGTCTATTTTATATGTAAACTTACTCAAAACAGGTTATAGCTTACCAGTGAAAGATAAATGAAACTTTAGCTACATATACTGTTTCTTAAAAGCAACGTGAATGCTAGTCTCTATAGCAGAGAGAATCCTTCCACAAAGAAATTTCAGGAAACAAGATTCCACTGCCAAATAGATTGTATGTACCCTTTCTCCTCTCAAAACTATAAAAGACAGATGACCTAATCACTTGGGCCATATAAACACTCCTCCCAGCTCGGAGTGGCTGTGGTACAAAGGAGAAATGTTTATTCAGTGTGTGTCCCTTTATCAACAAAATAGCTAAGGCTCTGGACATGCACACATCTGTAAAGATAAGCAGCCTTTACACTGATCTACAGGAGAAGCAGACGCTCTGGAACCTTTTCAAAAGCAGAATGTTTCTAAAGGGCTGAAGCTGGTGCGTTCGAGTTATTGTGTGAAAAACAGCCAAAAACAATCCAAATGTAGCAAAGCACTTCAACTTTAAACCTGGAAGGAGCAGTGTTAAACCATGCCCATATAACACTTGTCGAGTGAAGTTTAGAAGAACCCAGCATAGAGGTTCCAGGTGGAAGAGGAAGGGGAAAAACTGAAGTAAAACTCCACCAATTGAAGTATCATGTCCGTTTCTATCCGGGGGAAGATACATTCAGTGCAAAACTACTAACAGCTCCCTTTACACCTCATGGCAATGCAATAATGCCTACAGCAGCAGCTACTCCAAAACAGCTTGTCATCTGTCCACTCTGGACACTGATGTAAACTTGCCCTATTTTTTGTTCGCAGGTGTAATGTCCAGGTGCCAGGTTCCTAATAAAAACAGCATCAGATAATCCTGCTGTGTTGGGAGAATATTGCCACTTAACTCCCCATGTAAGTGGAGCAGGGTAGGGGTTAAGTTAAAGAGAAAAGGTGTGCACCAAGCACTGAGTCACTAAACCCATTTATTCATAGGACACTACCAAGGAAGGAAGAGGCTTGTAGCCTCTCTGTGCTGCCACCACTCCTTACTGTGCTCTCTCTTGCTCAAAATGCAGTTCCCAGATAGACGTAGCAAGGAGTGCTACTGGGGAAGCTGGAGTCACAGGGCTTGAGCCACTGAGCTGTATGCAGCCCACTACCCAAGTATAAACTGAGTGTAGAAGTGCTACCACTCAGTTATCTTTTTAAATATGCTCGCTTTGCACAGATGCAACTATGCAATGTGCAAGACAGAGATTCAGGCTCAGCTGAGTGCTTTGCCATGAGATTCCCACTAGACTTGATGACAGCAAGCACCCAATGAATAATGAGATGAAAGAAAAATAGCAAATATTGCAATTTCATCTAATCCCAGCAGAATTTGCAGTTAACCACATTCTCACTCCCTTCAATAATATAGTCATACTTTTATCACTCTAGTTTCACAATAGAGGAAGCATGACCGTTTCACCTTGAAAAGGTAAATGCTATCGGAGAAAATGTAACAGTTAGGGGCTTTTTTTCGTGACTCTCATCCAAAAATGATATCCGAAACCAAAAGTCATACAAACTGGGATGAAACTGAATCCAGGCAAGATGAGGAAGTGATACTGGTGAAGAAGTAATCTGAGGAATTTGGGTACTACTTGATGAATGGTCCCTGACTGTTGAACATACTGTTGGTACACAGTTTCAAAGTCTTTTTGAACATCTTGTTTCCTTTGCATATCCAAAAAAAAAACAAAATCGGGCAAAATGCGAACTTCCAAATAAGGCTGGCTGGAGGACTCTCCCATTTTATCAGAGATCTGACCATGGTTTTTAATGTGTTTGTGACCTTCAGGCTCACTTCCTGCAAATCAAACTGGGAACGAAGCACCCTTACCTTAAAAATAACAATGATGATACAAGATCATAGTCCAAATTAAGGTTTCTATCATAATATTCAAATCCCACCAAGGCGGCCAGCCTATGGTACTTACAGAGATCACCTCTCCTTTATATCCACAGCCAGCGACAACAGCTATGTGTTTATGGGGCTTTATCAAGTCTACATATCAAGGAATCCTGCTCTTGTCTATGTGACGCACACAAAATCATCGAAAGCTAGGGTTAGAAGGGACATCAGGAAGTCATCTAGCCCAACCCCTTGCTCAAAGCAGGACCACCCCCAACTAGATCATCTAGGCCAAGGCTTTCTCTACCCAGGTCTTAAAAACCTCCAAGGACAGAGATTCTACCTCTTCTCTAAGCAACCGGTTCCAGTGCTTCACCACCCTCTAGTTGTATTTCATCCTACCACTTTATCCAGGGGCATATGAACCTAATAAGGAACAGGTGGATTCATTATAGAATGCTACCCAGCTTCTCTGTAGTCAGTCTCATGGCAAGGAAGTTTGGCGGGCTGTGCGGGGAGCCCCGCAGGCAGAGCGGCCGGGGCCCAGCTCGGGCCGGGGCCGGGCTGTCCGCACTTTAGCAACGAGGAAGTAACGGCGCCGCTCCCTGCCGGAAAGGAGTCGGACAGCCGGTTTGGAAAGGTGCAGCTACGGCTTTCGCTTTGCCTCGAGGGGCCGCGAACAGGGGCTGTGCGGACGCCC